ATCTACTCACCCGATAGATCCCACGACACACCGAAGTCCAAGTTGGTGAGCTAGTGAGTTTTCCTGGAGGTCCCTGCAGGGGTATGGGTGAGGGATTACTTGCGGGTAACTCCCACGCAGCTGCATCAGCAAAGCCCACCCCAGCACGGGTGACAGCTCACAAAGCTGGGAACCTGGAGCACACTGCACAGCCTGCAGGCAGCTCAGCAGGTTAGAAAGGGTCCTTTCCAGGTACCTCAGTGGGTCTAAACCTCTTCCAGGCAGCTTGGCTAGTTTCTGTTTCTTCCCGGCAGCTGGTCTGGTTCTAGAGTCTTTGCAGCTCGGCTCTGCTCAGTGTGAGAAAAACTCACGGTTTTTATTGTCTTTCTCGGACAGGGAGGGACCTAGAGAATCTGGTCCGTCTCGGGCACTTGCTGGAACTACTTTGAGTTGTTTATCTCCTGCTTCAGGAGAAATTTCACAAATATCACTCAATTGGAAATAATTTTCGTGGGCTAACAATCAGATAATGTGGGCATTGGATGTAGCTCATTCATGGGCCACTTGCTCAGGATGGGTGAGACCCTGAGTTTAATCCCCAACACAGGAAGAAAAAAAAAGGTATCAGATAATTTCATATTGCCATTTTTTTTTTTTTTGAGACAGGGTTTCCTCTGTGTAGTCCTGGCTGTCCTGGAACTCACTCTGTAGACCAGGCTGGCCTCGAACTTAGAAATCCGCCTGCCTCTGCCTCCCAAATTCTGGGATTAAAGGCGTGCGCCACCACCGCCCGGCTCATATTGCCATTTGTATAAACGAGAAATTGTGTATCTGCAACTCAACATTTAAACTAATACTAAAGTGTCATGAAAGCAACTAGATGACAGCATGAAATTGTATTCTTGCTAACAGTTATAAAAAAATAACTGTCAACCCCCCTCTGAATGCCATGCTACATAGTATACACGCGTGCATGCATGTATGTGTGCCTGCGTGTGTGCCTCTGTATGTGTGTGCATGTGTGGTTTCTGTGGTGGTTTGGAAGAGAACGACCCCATCACACTCATATGTTTGGATACTTGGTCCCGGGTTGATAAAACTGCTTAGGAAAGATTAGGGGGTGTGGCCTTGTTGGAGGAGGTGTGTCACTGGGCGTAAGCTTTGAGGTTTCAATAGCCTAGTTAGCTCTCTTTGCCTCAGGCTTGTATATTAGATCTCAGCTACTGCTCCAGCGCCATGCCTGCCTGCCTGCCTGCCTGCCTGCCTGCCTGCCTGCCTGCCCACTGACAGGTTCCATCGCGATGGACATGAACTCTAATACTCGGAGACTGTTAGCCCCAAAGATGCTCTTTCTTCTATGTTACCTTCATCATGGTTTCTTGTGACAGCAGTAGAAAAATAAGTAAGACAGCTTGATACAGTCTGAGACCTCTCCCATTAGGCAATTCTGTGGTGCTAACATCAGTGTGTATTTATATAAATCTAGATGAATAGCCTAATAGGTAGCTAGGCTGTGCAATCTAACATAAGGCTTAGGTGACACCCCTGCATAGCATGTTACCACATTGAAGACTATAGGCAATCATAACACAGTAGTCAATGTGTTTCTAAATCTAGGCTTGGCATGGTGGCATACACCTGCTCTCCCAGTATGTAGGAGGCTGAGGCAGAGGCTGGTGGATCATAAGGTCATAGCTAGCCCAGGCTACAGAGTAAGACCCTGTCTCAGAGAAGTAAATTAAAAAAAAAATCAATGTCCAACACTGCAAACCTAGTGGAAACATAAGGTTTCCCACTGGGGAAGTCATAGGCCTTAGGAGAGAACTTGAGGCTTATCTAGCTGAATTGACACATCGTCAAACCTCCTTGTGAAGATTTGACCCATATGGTCACAACCCATAGTCAAATGCCTTTCTCAGAGAAGCCCCTCTTTACAGTGGATGCAGGTGTGTGGCTGCCCAGGATAACTGACAGCTGGGAACCCAGTTCTAAATAGGACAATTATAACATCCCTTTAAGGCTCAGTGAACATCACAGCAGGTGAAAGAACGAAAGATTGTAAAAGGGACAACAGAGAGAAGGGCAATCAAACACCATCTTCCAGGCACAACACAGCAATGGCAGTCATGAACTCAGAGCAGCTATGGAGATTTATCCTGAGCCTGCCCAAGACTGGCCCTGTCCACATTCAATCATGAGGAGAGGTGGGGCTCCCAGCTGCTGAACCATTGGCTACCAACAGATTCTGGAAGATTGGGAGTCACTGTCTTTAGTTGTGTGCACACTGTTAAGCACACTGGGGTCTAACAGATAGCTCCAAATCCATGGTCACACAAACAGCCCTGGTAAAATCTGACGGTTCACAAACAAAACATGACGTGTGGGAAAGGAGTCTGTAAGGGGGAAGAACCTTGACAGTAGTAGGTGAGAGACAGGAAGGGGTGAGACTAACCAGAAAGCATTATATCCATTTATTATATTGTCAAACGACAAATTTTAATTTTTAAAAAAAAAATTAGAAGAAAATGGTTTCAAAAAAGGTAAAAGGGTATTGGAAACCCAGACAAAGTAACTTCCTAGTTTTGTTCCCTGAATCAATTTTACAAAACTTTACTATTAAGTATAAATAATTTAAATATAAAGATTATCAACTAAGAATCTAAGCTTTGTGTATTAGTCATTTGTCATTGTTATAAACAATTACTCTTTCCTACTTTAATATTAGTGTTTTGTGTGAAGACATTTGCTTAAACATGTGTGTTCACCTATATATACATACACACGCACACAGACGCACAGTTTGTAAAAACAGTCACACACTACATTATGTATTCTTGACTCCATGAGACGGAGGAGACAACTCCTGACGTGTGAGAAGAGTGTGAGAAGAGTGTGAGAAGAGTGTGAGAAGAGTGTGAGAAGAGTGTGAGAAGAGTGTCGCATCAAGGCCACTGAGCCCCATCATTTACACTAACTTCATTTCATCCATCATAAATATTCCAACGACAGTTTCCTAAGAATAAATAAGAGGCTTGATCAACTCCTTGCCTCTGAGACCTGCAAATAACAGCCAGAGAGACGAGCTAAAGTGGATGTCAAAGCCCAAATGCTTTCACGGCCACGGGTTGCTAAGCATCATGTGGTGGGTGCCATGGACCATCTTAGGAAAACTGCTTCTGAACTACTGAGCCACCAAACCACACATTTGCTCTGGCAGGCCATGAGCTCCTTGGATACGTGTTCTTTTTAACGTAAGCGACACGTACCATCCTTTTGTAGGAAAGACAAACATCTTTAATAAGTAGCTTTCCTGGATTCAGTGTGCTGCAAAATTATTTGAGCTATGCAAGGACTAGTAAATTAAACACTTCAAAAAGACTTTTTTAAAGGCAAAACACAAAGACTTTGTGTTTTGCCTGCATGTGTGTAGGTGCACCACATGCATGCCTGGTGCCCATAAAGACCAAAGAGGTGCCCTCGGAACCGCAGTTACAGATGGTTACCAAGTGAGTGCTGGGACCTGAACCCAGGTCCACGCGCAGGAGAAGCAAGCGCTCTTAACCTCTGAGCCCTCGTTCCAGCCCCTAAAAGGAAGATCTCGAAAATCAAAAGTACTCTCATAATTTAAATCTGAAAAATTTCAACACTTTACTATTAATTCAATATTTAACAAAACAATGGGCACATATTCCACTCTGAAGCGTGTTTCCTCTAAATTTATAGTTTTGTACACTCATTCTGCTACTGTCACCGAACTGTACCCTCAGCCCCAAGAGCAGTACAAATTTATTTTACTGTTAGAATAATTATCTACTAAAAAAATTAACTGAAAGATTATTCGTGTTTATAAACCCTTTATTTTGTCTCAGGGAAAATGTTTACTCAATAAGATTGTAACAATAATTGCTGGTTTGAAGCAGGTGTGATATACACACCATTCATTCCAGCACTCCTGAGGCAGGAAGAAAAACTCCTGTAAATTTATAGTCAATCTTAGTCACATGGACCAACATACCAGCCAGAGCTACATAGTAAGACCCTACCTCAGAACAAGCAGACACAAACAAACTCTCTCTGTCACTGTCTCTGTCTCTGTCTCTCTCTCTCTCACACACACACACAAACACAGACACATACACCGACCTCCCAAAAAAACCCAAACAACCCAAAAGTTGAATACTGTGGGGTTTCAAATATGAACTACAACCATCACTCCAAGACTTTAGCTCTGTACTTGTGAGAGAATTTCCATGATGTTCAAGGAGATGGTGTGATGACCTCAACTCTCTGGCATTTTTAAAATTTTCTATTTGCAACTAATATATGTAGCTTTTCCCAACAATTCCACTCTCAAGTATGTACCTCAGAGAATGCAGCCTGTCCACACTAATATTTGTTTATAAATGCTCATAGCATCATTCTTTGTACAAGCCCCTGAGTAGATATGACCCAGATGCTCCAAACATCAAGAGGTAAATCAAATGGACCTCTACCCAAGTACAAGGTCTGCGGCAGGAGGATGAGGTTACTGATGAGGCCAGCCTGGACCTTGACAACAATGCTGTGCTAGGTAGATGCATCGGATAGAGGAGCCGCGTGCTGACTGACTCAATTATATGATAGTGTCCATCATATGAAAACTCCATCATGAAAAGCAGACCAGTGCTTCAGGAGCTGAAGGGGGAGAAGGAAGTGCCACAGAGGCTGTTCATGGGAATGGGGCAGTAGCGATGACTGCACGAGTCCGTGAATACACTAAATCCAAAACTACACTACAAAGGGAAAGAGAGGCTGGGCACAGCTCCATGGTCGGAGGCTTTTAAGGGTGCAGTTTCAACAAAACCACAAGGTATATGCTTACAGCTTACACTGAATTTCTAAATCACTTCACATTCTATTAAAAAGTTTGTATGGCCCAGTATACCATATATTTATGTACAGATATATATCATTCTGAAAAGTCTTACAGAAAAAAAAAATTCATAACATCACTTTTGATAGACATAAAACAGAAGACAGAGTAATTTTTTAAATGTAAATATATTTAAAAAATTAAAACACCTAAGAAATGCAATCTATACACATGAAAAAGATATTTATATGATGACAGCTAATAGCAACATTACCCAAAAGCAACGGTGGTGTCCATCATGTCCAGGTTTTGGTTTAACACCACAGTGGTAGATCACTGTTCTTTAGGGACATTATATAAGGTACATAGCATGAGGAACATATAGAACACTGTAAATGGAAAATCAATGCCAAGTAACAGTATTTTCTCTAAAAACAAGTGTTAGTAAACAAATATCTTAAACTAATGAACCACAAAATGAGCTTATTAAGTTCAAGATATATAGTCAACTTGCATAAAATCACATGTGGCCATTTTTAAATGATGTTTCTAAAATATCAGTAACTCAAGACTATTGGGATTTCCACAGGAGATAAAATGTCATTCATTTTCTTTTTATGAAGAGGTCTGCTTTAAGAACATTACAATCATGCTCTTAAGAAATGCTACAGCATACTTGGCAAGTCACAATGGGAAAGCGTGTGCATGGATACATTCTGGTACCAGCCCAACCCAGCAGTTCTGAATGTGACCTAGACTGCATTTCTGTATGACTTTGGCTTTTAGTCTCCTACATATTACATATACAGTTAAGAATTTTAATTTCTATTAAGGGAGCCTATCACACTGATCATTTAAAGACACACACACACACACACACACACACACACACACACACACACACAGAAGTACTTGGATGATCTAATACTTTACTAGAAGTATATCTATAGACCATAACCCAACTTTTACTTACAAATGAAATACTAAAAATTTCTGATTTGGGAGAAATGAAATACAACACAGTGAATGACTTTTCATCTCTACTGTAAAAATCCACTTTGCCTATTTGAACCGTCTCTATTCATGCAATTTAATGAGCCCTCAGAAGAGTTTACACATCTTTATACAGAATTCACATCAGTCAACTGCCAGTACTTTTATATTTTCAGTGTCTTATCAAAATATGGATAGCAAGGTTCTTCTCATCCTATGAGGCAGGGAGGTGCTTCCTAAGGATCTCTTTGGACGCTGCAGATATGGCGTCTGGGAAGGATACGTCAAATTCTATTAGTAGGTCGCCACGTTGGTCAGGGTTTTTTGGAAATGGCAGCCCATATCCAATAATTCTTCTCCTCATCCCAGGTTTCACAATGTCAGTGACTGACATAGGTATGTTTCTTCCATCCATTGTTGGCACATTAATTGAGCAGCCACACAATGCCTAAAGAGACCAAATAAGATGAAGTCATTAATAAACTTCCAAACTAACGAATGTAAGATTGTGCTAGGTAGTAGAGGGCAATACCATGAAGGTAACATTTTAACCTCCAAAAGGATTACAATAGTTATTAAACCTTTTAAAACCTATTAAACCTATTCTAATAAATCTGTTCAAGAGAAGCATAATCAAAGACAGACAAGAGGACAGAGAAGAGAGAAAAAGGGAAGTAAAGGATGTCTTCCACTCTGACTTAGGATGTGAACAGTTTGATGCTATCAATAGTCAGGGTGCAGAAAACTGAGTAGGACAGAGCCCATCCTCATCATCTGGGACTATGAAGTGTCTAAACTACACAAGGGCTGCACTGTAGCAGGCTCTGGGACAGAAATCACACAGGGTAGCTCTGACACAGGGAAACTAAACAAAGTAATAACAGCAAATTCAGGGAAAAGAAACTGTATTTGGTGGTAGAAGGCAGATTTCTACTATTTTATACTAGTTCGAAATATATGGTAGGGAAACAAGAGCCATTTAAGAATTTAAACAGGGACATGAGAAGTAGTGCAAATAAGGACTCAAGGACTATATTAAGGGGTGATATTATGCACAATGTATAATTATATACTTGTTATATAAATTTTACTCCAAACCAATCAGTTTAGAACAAATGTATTAATGGACTAAAGTGGTGGGTTACCAATGCAGATCTCAGAGACCACAACCTCAAACTAGAGTTACCCCAACACGGACATGAAGTATGTAATCAAGCTTGCACTTAAAGACTGACATTTAAATGGTTAATATTAGTAATTAAATTTAGAAACTATGATGTCATCCATAGGAGAGATGTAATAGAAGCACTTCCTAGAGCATTATTAAGGAATAAAATATGGAGACCCCTGGATAAACGCCAGCTCCTGCCCAGACTGTTCCCTGAGATTAATCAACAGCACCCATCTCTGTGGTCTTAGAATTGTAGGTCTTACTAACTTACCTCCCGTAAACTAATTTTAGCAGTATAAACTATATTTGATCCGTCTCTTTTAAATTTGGGATGTTCTTTGTCTTTAATAATAAAAACAATGTCTGCTGGGATACTATTTGGTGTTTCATCGCCTTCCCTCGGGAAAGTAATTTTGGTGCCTTCTTTCCACCCTTTTTTGATCTCAATGGTGAGAATTTTGTCCTCAGATCTGTAACTCCTTCCATCAGGGTTTAATCTTTTTCGAGAAATCTTCATCCGCTTGGTGCAGCCACTATATATTTCTTCAAGTGATACTTTAAGTTCATGAATGATGGGAGGGTCTTGTTTGAGACGGGAGGGTCCCACAGAATTCCTGTCTCTCGGATAGCCATTCATGCTGAATCCAAAGGCACTGAAGGGGTCTCCATCTATTTCCATTTCTTCAGAATCTCGACCTCCACCCATCCGTCTTCCAAAGAAAATTTCAAAGGGATTGGAACCTCCAAAAAAGGCTGCAAACGTGGCATGAGGGTCTCCGTGGAACGTGTACCTGAAGGTACCTCCTTGTCCATCAGTGCCTCCGGCTCCTCCCTTCAAGCCTGGGGAAGAGATGAGCACCATTAGGAAAAAGGCGAGAGCTCTAGACAGCTGACCACTTACAGACTGTATTGCTAAGAAACTCTGACATATCAGTAGAATTAAACAGAATCATTTCTCAAGATCCATCCTGTGTTAAAGTTTTGGCTTTTAAATCATTCCTCCAAATTCTTTGCTTTAATAATTTCTTCTTGAATCTTTGTTTCACAATAAATATGAAAAATAAAAGGAAACTGAGACTCCCTTACCTCAAAAACTCCTGTTCTAGTATACTTAAGTATTATAAATTTAAGAGTTTTAAAGATGTCAGTTGAAAAGACTCTGGTAATCAACAAAAAATCTAAATCCTAAGTACCATTATATTAAGTATAGTAGCAACAATTAATATAGTTCATACTGGTAACTTTATTGTATGTCTTTCACTGTTGTTTTAAAGATGTTTATTATTTTAATCATGTGTAGGCCAGTGTGTGTGCATATGAGTACATGCACATGTGCAGGTGCCTGTGAAGGGCAGAAGTATCAAATCCCCGGGAGTTAGTTACAGATGTGGGAGCCTCCTGATACGTACTGGTGCTGGAAAATGCGCTCCAGCACTTGGGGAGAGCAGCTGGTACCCAGCCATCTCTCCAGGTCCTAGGTCTTTACTGTTTAATAACTGAAATAGAACTCTTTTTATAGGAGCATGGGAAAAATATAATAAAAGGGACAGTATGAAAACTGTTTTAGTTTTTTAAAGATTGACTTATTTATTTACTTATTTATTTAATGTATTTCAGCACACTGTCACTGACACACCAGAGAAGAGCATTGGATCCCATTACAGATGGTTGTGAGCCACCACGTAATTGCTGGGAATTGAACTCAGGACCTCTGGAAGAGCAGTCAGTGCTCTTAACTGCTGAGTCATCTCTCCAACCCCCCAAAAATTGTTTTTTGTAGACACTAGATTATTATCATCTTACATAGCAAGACTTTTTATGTCTACTTTATCACATCCTGACTCCAAGCATTTAAAAACAGGACTGAAATTTTAAAATCAGGCTTTTTTAACATGTAAGATGGACTAATTATTTCTGTCTAATAACTGCTGCAGACAGCAGTGTCATGTATGACCTTTTGCACAGTTCAGCAAAGTAACATATGGCTGACAAAGATTATATTTAAAATAGCATTTTCTATCACACAAAGATTCAACTAAAGCCCATAACACAATATACTGATGTTTTAGGAGAAACAAAGATTTCTATCATTCTAGTGAAGCTTCTGGAAGAGCCTAGAAGGATTCCCTAACCAAAAAAGGAAGGAGGAAAATTAAGATTATAGAACTATGAATTCTTATATTAAACTGAGATTCTTATATCCCTATGTTCCTATTGCTCACAGATATGAGGCTGAAAATGACAAGATACTCCAGGCTATCGAATGAAGAAAATCAGCTAATTCTTAAAGGTGTCCTGAACTGAAACTAAAATAAGTGTTTTGAGATTCAGCCTAAAGAATACAAAGAAAAAGCAAACTAACATACACATGTGGGATCTAATCATTACAGTGTCAAGGAGGCTGAATTTTCATCTCTTACTGTATAATTGGTTTCTATTATTAAAGGATATATAATGTGTATATGTGTGTGTGTGTGTGCACACATGTGCACACGCATGCTATCTCATCCAACAGTCTCAACTAACATCTAAATTCTTACCTTTATCCATGAGCAGAAATCTAAAGGACCAAGAAAGACCTAATCAGCGTCCTCATCAGAGGACTGTACATGCACACAAGCATGCACACAAACACGTACACTCAAGTGCACACACGGCAGGGTTAGTTGGGGTATTCACTGTAGAAATGGAATGACAAGTCTGAGAAGGATAAACAAGGTTACTATGTGGCTCATTCAGTCTTCCTTTTATAACTTTGTTCGTATGACTGTAACTCCAAATGTGAAAAGCTAATGACAGATTTTCTTACATGATAGATTAAGTATAGACCTCAAAGTCATCACAAGGTAACTAAATGAGTACTTCAATTATTTCAAGAATTGTATCCCTTTTCCCACAGACTTCATAAAGTATAACAGTTTGCCAGTTAATTAACTTGGTAACTGAGCTTGCCTATTCTTAGCTCTCTAATAGGCAAAAATCTAAATGCTTTGGACACATAACAGAAAAGAAAGAATAACATTTTCAGTATTACATCATAGGTTTGGCTTTTCCCTAAAACCTCTTCCCTTGCTCCCAAAAATGGTAATTCAGTCAGTACTATAGTCTGTGAGAAAATTTACATACAGCCTGAAGTGACTTACTCACCAGAGCTGACAAAAATGTGGCCTCGAGTTTCCTAGACATCAAACAGTCAAATATGGAGACCAGATAAAGAAGGAAGCCACTGTAATAATGAGAAAATCCTACCAAGATGCCGCTGTAATATGTCGTGAACTGCCTGCTGTCTCCTACACTGCTTAACACTTGAATTCTATCAAGCATGCCATCAGCCAGATAGTTAACCTTAATCCTGCACACCAAAACCCCCAGAAAAAAACTCTCAACATCCAGCTGGATTCTCTCTGCTCTCTACAACGTTTTCTGGACACTGTCTGGTCAGGGAACGGACTCTAGATTCCAGATCTGCCTGGGCTTTTAATCAACTAACCAACTTAATATGCAAAAACAAATAGATCTTTGGGATACTACCCATAGCAATGACGTCTCTTTGTTAATCTGAAAAAAAAATATGAAAAGAAGAAACACTAGAGAAGGATTGGAATTGCAAAGAAAAAGCCATGGGCCCCACTACCAACTCCTACTGTAAGGAGGCCTAGTGCACAGCAGCGGGTGACTTGTAGCAAGCCTCCAGAGTTCTAGAACAAGGACCTGTAGACAGGCTCACTCACAAGTAGGACCCAGAAAACAAAGAGGTGCAGCTGACTAACGCATGGAAGACAACAGTGAACTAGACGAAGGCTGCACTCAACACTTAAGCTGGAATACATCAGCTACTGTCAGCATCCAGAGAACATTACTGAGTAAGAAATAATCAACAAAGGAAAGAAGGAAGAAAATGATGGCTAGAAAACCAGAACCCTCTAAAGGTGTCTTGTGAAGGAAATTTTTAACTTTTATATTTAAAAATGTATTTACTTATGGTCAGTTGGTCTGTCGGTGGCATGTGTGTGCCATGCTCATGGTGGTCAGAGGACAACCTTCATGACTAAGGTCCCTCTTCCCTCTTCCCTCCAGAAGGGTCCCAGGGATTGAACTCAGGTCCACAAGCACCTTTACCCACCAAGCCATCTCTCTGGCCCAATGGAGAAAAATAATTTAATTGTTTTATACAAACCTCTGTTCATATCCACTTAACCAAGCCTAAAAGTTTAGGGCAGAGAATAATTCAAAATCCAATTATAGATTTCTGTAGTTTCATGATTATTTTCAAATATTTCAGCTATGGAGTAAACTGACTTATTATTTAATATGTAGATTACATTACAAAATTAATTTGTATACAGTTCAGCTGTAATAAATTGTAAACACAATCCATTTGTGGGACATTTCCACCACTCTCAAGAGGTCTCTACTTTTACTTCCTGCTTATTCCTATATTCCCACCTCCAGCCCTTGGCAAGCTAGCTCAGCTATCTCTTTAAAGTTGTCTTTTCCAGATATCTCACGAATTGAATTACATAATATGTACTGTCTTTTATATCTAGAGTCTTTTCATCCAGCATATTTTTCCAGATTCCTCCAGTTGTGACATATTTCATTAAGTGGGTCCTTTGAATTGCTAACAAGTACTCCACTGGAGCATATACTCCTTGTTGATCCATTTCCTAAACCACGTGACTTCTGGATTGTTTGGATGCAGGGACCTTAATGGTCTTGCTGTGGACAATCAGGTACATGTCTTTGTATGAGCAAATGTTTTGTCTTGTTTGTTTTTCTTTTTCACAGGTTCCCAGGAATAAAACTACTAGATAATATAGTAACGTTAAAACAGTTATTTTATTCATTTTTTTTTAAAAAAAGCACTTTAAATTTCAGATGTTAAAAGAATTTTACAACGTGAATAAACAATATTAATGGTTCTCTTGATTCCTAGATATGGACAGTCTAGATTTTTGTTACTACTGTAGAGGCCTACTGACCCAGGAATATAGGAAAGAGAGAAAGGACAAAAGCTTCCCTGTATTCTCAGAGTACTTACAGGAGATGGGGGGAGGGGGATACTGAGAGCAGGGGTGCTGTGACACTGAGCTACCCTCCTCTTGTCCCTACCACTATGTGCTAGCCTACCAAAGAGCAACAAACAAACAAACAGACAAACAAACAGACAAACAACCAGAAAAGCTCAAGAATCTTCACTCTCCTGTATTTTCAGGTAGCTAGTAACTACCGAATATTTCTGAATAATATATTTCAACACTTTAAGGAACCAATCCTCCTTCATGCTTCTTTTATTGCTTAAAGCACTTATCTGGGCTAAAAACACCAAGAATAAAAAAACACTCAGGGTATATAGATAATTGTGATCTAGTTTTTGAAAATTTAAGTCACTGGTAATGATCAGTTAAAAAAAAAATCAAAGTAATTTGGGGAGTGGGTGGAATTACTCAAGAAAAGCACTGCCAAGAGAAAAACTTAAACAACTAAGTGCACCATCTGGTATACTTGAAAACTCTCAAGTCAAACACGTGTAATGAGCCTGAATCCTATGGCTTACCACAACAGAGGTACACTCTGTGAGCAGTCTGTAAAATGGAGCCAACTGACTTGCCTTTACAGAGTGGCTCTATGGGAGCTCACAGGCCACTCCACCTTCTCAAGAAGGGCCAGAGTGCTGGCAACATCTCAAGAGCTGGCTCGCTCCTGAGAGATCACACCTTGGCATTCTCGACAATGTGACCACAGGGCACAGAGAGACTGAACTGTCCACATCTTGCTTTTTGTAATTACTCACTTTTTAGGAACTTGACACTACAACCAAAGGCAGCAGCATGAACGTTAATGCTTGGGACTCTGACCCAAAACTAAAGCAGGAGGAAAAGAGCCCACCATTGCTCTGAGTTGTCAATTTGGTTTGCTTAATGCAAAGTGAGTGGTCATTGTGTGGCCATGTTTGGAGGATTTGTAATTAGGGAAATCTGGTGTTTAAATGCCATAAACAAAGAAAAAACAGTATGTTTCCATAGCCACCATGACTTAAAAACATTAGGCGAAGAGTAATGCAAAAGGACTTTAGTATCTGTTTTTTAACCCCAGAACTCTTGTGAACTAATGCACGATTATCTCTGCTGCTGACTGACAATTTCAAATTCCTACTTTATGGCCACATTTAGGGATATTTATGGAGACGCTAGAATTTATGAAACCTGGGTTCAGATTCAGAATGGTGAAAGAAGATTCTCAAAGGCTACTGGGCTCACTGAGTTCTGATCTCAGAAGGCAAGAAAAAACGTAAGGCTGAGGAAAAGGGGAGCTGTCTGTCATGCTTCCTCTTCACCCAGATAGCAACATTTCCAAAAGAAATAGTTAACTAAAACAAAATCAGTCATTGCTCCAACTAGGTGGCCATTTTAGGTTAGAGAGAGAGAGAGAGAGAGAGAGAGAGAGAGAGAGAGAGAGAGAGACAGAGAGATTGGCACAATAGTAACTGTTTACAATTAAGCTAAAAACTTGTTCTGGTATTTTATGACATCAGGGAAATTCTTTCCTCTCTAGGCAGGTTGCCAAACCAACTAGAAGCTAAATGCCTGTGCCTTCTGCTCCTACGACACACCACTCCGTCTCGTTCAGTTTCAACTAGCGTCGTTCTAAAAAGGTAAAAAACTTCTTGTTTTTTTAAATAAATATAAATGCCCCAGAATTTGAATTGCCAATGTTAAGATTTTAAATGACTGAAGATTCTATTAATTCTGGCAGAAAAAATCATTAAAAACAAAACAGCTTGCATAAGACGTGTAAACAATTCATCCACAGGCATGGGAGTTTACAGTTTCTTTTAAAATATAAAATGCTAAAACCGGAAGTCTAACAGAAGAATATGAATAATACAATATTCTAAGGAAAAAAGCCCACAAAGGCAAACACGACATTTCATTCATAGCTCATTCAAATAACCAATGATTAGACCTTATTTTTAACCTGTTATTTTTCTTTTTATTTTAGTATGTCTGATGATCTAATTTAATGATAACCAGAAGGCTGAGAAGAAAAAAGGTAAGATTCACAGAGAGTCAAAGGAACAGAAATATGCAGCTTACCTTCTTCGCCAAACTGATCATATATTTCTCTCTTTTTAGGATCACTCAGTACTTCATAAGCTTCTGCGACCTCTTTAAATTTTTCCTCTGCTTGAGGAGATTTGTTCTTGTCCGGATGAAATTTGAGGGCTTGTTTTCGGTAAGCCTTTTTAATATCTTCATCTGTAGCTCCTTTTTCAATTCCCAAAATGTGATAATAGTCTTTCCCCATTTCGAATGCCTTGAAATGAACTTAGATTTCCCTTTGTAAAAGAAAACAGCGTCCCCGGGCTTAGCAACACAATGATTCTGAGGAAATAAAGCAAGCTGGGTATCTTACAAGTTAAAGCAATCAGCGACTCGGCTCAGCTGTCCAGAGGTAGCAGGCAGCGTCTCTATTTAATACCTTCCCCAGCAGCTCACTTACAGATAAATATACACCACAGGGAGACGGCCTCGGCTAGACCCTCCCACTTCAACTACGTGTCTCTGTACTTTCTAGAACAGCAAACGCTACAGGACGTCACTTTCCCAGCGGCCTCTAGGCAAAGTACTGAGCTGTGTCTCTCCTCCTCCACAGTTAACTATTCCCTTTCCTTCTTTCTGGCTGTGTCCTTTTATTTCCTGTGGATTCAGCAAACCAGCACAGAATGCCCCAACTACATATACATGTACTCCATTAGAGGTAAAAAGGCAACAGAAATAATTATAGCCATTAGGCATCCCATGTTAAATTGATTATACAGAAAGTAAAGCCCTGAACGTACAGTAGGTATTCTAATTTCAATTTCAAGTAACCTAGCTTTAAAATGTGCAGAACTAAAATATGAGGTGTTTACATTTAAAATCTTCAAATAATTTGGGTCATTTTCAAAATTCCTGGGGTCTGTTGATCTGAAAAGTGAGGGAGTCACTGTATAAAATGTCACATAGTAAAAAGGCTATCATAACACTGAAAAGCAGGACTGCCTATGTTCATCACCACAGTGAAGCGGAAGGCCCCATTCCGAGGGGGTCTTCATATTGCAGGCAATGGAGGGAGACAGGATCAGGCCTCGACATGCTCACCTGAGTGTAAGTGTCACCCTGGACCAACCTAGGATCTGGAGAGACTATTTAAGAGAGGCAGTTAGTTAACAACTACTTTCAAAACACATCGCCCGAATCTTAAGTATTTACATGGGGGCAGAAGTCTCCCTATCTTTTTACTATTCCTTTGTGCTACTAGTGTATTTCCTTTTAATCCTTTAAAAAATATTTGTTGCTATTTGTTGGAATTTTTTTAATTAATAGTTTTAATCATTTTTACATTTATATGCTATTTGATGCTTTCTTATAAAATGTACCTTGAATAAATGAGAAATATTTTGAATGTAAATAACTCATCTTTTGTCTCTTATGTGGGTTTTCAATCTGTACTGGCTGGTTTTGTGTGTCAACTTGACACAGCTGGAGTTATCACAGAGAAAGGAGCCTCCCTTGAGGAAATGCCTCCATGAGATCCAGCTGTAAGGCATTCTCTCAATTAGTGATCAAGGTGGGGAAGGGCCCCTTGTGGGTGGTGCCATCCCTGGGCTGGTAGTCTTGGGTTCTATAAGAAAGCAAGCTGAGCAAGCCAGGGGAAGCAAGCCAATAAGTAATATCCCTCCATGGCCTCTGCATCAGCTCCTGCTTCCTGACCTGCTTGAGTTCCAGTCCTGACTTCCTTTGGTGATGAACTGCACTGTGGAAGCGTAAGCTGAATAAATCCTTTCCACCCCAACTTGCTTCTTGGTCATGATGTTTGTGCAGGAATAGAAACTCTGATTAAGACACAAATCTTATTTCAAAAATGTTCCCATTTCTAGGTGAGTTCTGAAACTCAAAGCCTTGAACACAATTACTAGTCAGTTACTTCACTCCACCACTGAAGTCCAGCCACTATTTTTGATATGATATTGCAAAGATGGACTACTAAAACCATGTCCAAAGAAATGTACTCAGTTCATATTGTATTTAAAAGCCCTCAGAGTCTAGAAACGCGGGGGCGGGGCGGGGCTGCTAAAAGGCAAAGGCAATGGCCATCCACGCTGAGAATATACTGAAAGCGCCATGGCCACAAGGACAGACTGCTAGTCTGCATCCCAACGCTTGATGACGAGGCACTTCTGAAGGCTTCTCTCAACTCCCTCCCACAATGGGGACTCTCTCGCACTTTGCCTTCCACATCCACACAGCTTAGTGAACTAGTTTCATGTTCTTTAGTCTATCAGTAAATATCAGTATCGAAACATTTTTTTTTCAAATTCCATGTTCCAAAGAACATGGGAGAAGTTAATATCAAAAGTCACCATGAGGGCTGGAGAGATGGCTCAGCGGTTAAGAGCACTGACTGCTCTTCCAGAGGTCCTGAGTTCAAATCCCAGCAACCACATGGTGGCTCACAACCATCCGTAATGAGATTGGATGCCCTATTCTGGTGTGTCTGAAGACAGCGACAGTGTACTCATAAACAAAATAATAAATAAATAATAAATAAAAATGCTTTAAAAAAAAAAAGTCACCATGAGACTGGTACTTTGAAAGTACATGCACCATCACACTCATAAATATCTACCTGCTGATAAAGGTTTGAGGGTGTAGATATGAGGGAGACTATGAAGAGAAGAGAAACTACAATTAGTAAACTTAACTGCAATTTGAAATTGTATTTTGCTATTTACTGGCAAGATGCCACGAAGCTGTAATTCTCCTCTTTTTATTACAAGTATCTAGCCTGCTGTATCATTCAATAGTTCAGGACTCATGAATTTATTTTTTCATGTATATCAAAAAGCTTAAATATGATTATTTTATCAATGTTAACAGCAACACGGGCCAGGCAGTGGTGGCACACACCTTTAATCCCAGCACTTGGGAGGCAGAGGCAGGCGGATTTCTGAGTTTATGAGGCTAGCCTGGTCTACAGAGTGAGTTCCAGGACAGCCAGGGCTACACAGAGAAACCCTGTCTCGAAAAACCAAAAAAAAACAGCAACACGGTTTTCATGCATAGCATTGTAGCTGTCTTCAGACACACCAGAAGAGGGCATCAGATCCCATTACAGATGGTTGTGAGCCACCATGTGGGTGCTGGGATTTGAACTTAGGACCTCTGGAAGTGCAGTCAGTGCTCTTAACCACTGAGCCATCTCTCCAGCCCAGGCTAAAAGTTTCTAATCTTTGGGTAGGAAGTATAGGGGACTAGAGGTCATGATTTTCGGATACAGATTCATTTTATGAGACTCCAAGTACATCCATCAAATATCTGATATTTGAGGTGATCTTAATGAACTGAAACAGGGTCTCTCTGTAGCCTGGCCTGGCCTGGAACTTGCCGTTCTCCTGATTCAACTTTCTTAGTGACCTAATTTTAAAATGGATCTTTTCTGAGTAGTCCTGCAAGTCAGCCCATGTCTCTGTCCCTGATATACTGTGACGAGAACAGGAGGGTGTTAAAGTGAATTTATCTTAATGACACGTGGGCCAGAGGAAATTAAACATTTGAAAGTCATTTTGCTCCTATACTTGGGATACTATGCTTTAATTACTATACAAAAAGGATTTGTACAGAGGGTAGCACTTAAACCTCAAAACCTACAAGTAGAACACATCATACAACTGACTCCATCTTTTTTTAATTTGGTTCTCATTTCTACATTTAAAAAAAAAACTTAGCTGTTGTAATGGTTCATCCCAGAATCCCGGCACTCAAGGCCTGAGGCAGATGGAGGTCAGTGAAGGCCTGCACACAGTGAGTTCAGGGCCAGCCTGAGCACTGACTGCACTTCCAGAGGTCCTAAGTTCAAATCCCAGCAACCACATGGTGGCTCACAACCATCTGTAATGGAATCTGATGCCCTCTTCTGGTGTGTCTGAAGACAGCTACAGTGTATTCATATATAATAAATAATAAATAAATCTTTAAAAAAAAAAAGAAACTTTTAGCCTTTTATTCTGTGTCCCTAGTGCTTCTGACAGTTGAATATCTAACCTTGACTCTAAGTATACCCAGTGGTCACTAAGTCCGTCAAGGTAGCAGGTATGGCAGTACACTGTAACTCTAGAACTTGGCAGGCTGAGGCAGGAAGATTTCTGTTGAGCTTTAGTGTACCCTGGAATATGCTACAAAGCAAAACTATAGCAAAGAAAGAAAGAACAGAGAGGGGGGGAGGGGAGAAGAGAGGGAAGAAGGGAGAGAGGGTTTTTTTTTTAATTTATTTATTTATGTATATGAGTATGCTACCAGAAGACAGTGTCAGATCCCATCCCATCACAGATGGTTGTGAGCCACCATGTGGTTGCTGGGAATTGAACTCAGAACCTCTGGTAGAGCAGTCAGTGTTCTTAACTGCTGAGTCATCTCTCCAGATCTGAGGGAGAGAGTTTTAAGGGGTAGACAAAAGTGTAGTTTTCACTGAGTGGTAAAATGCATGTCTGCCATGTATCAGACACTGGGCTTAATCCCCAGGGGACAGAAAAGAGGAGGAAGGGAATCTACCGTGGGATTAAGGAACATTTAAACAGTCATTTAAAGTACTTGTTAAAAGCAGACTCTGGAGTCAAGTTGTGATGGTTTGTATAAGCTTGGTCCAAGGAAAGGCACTACTAGGAGGTGTGGCCTTGTTGGAGTAGGTGTGTCACTGTGGGCTTGGGCTTAAGACCCTCACCCTAGCTGCCTGGAAGTCAGTACTCTGCTAGCAGCCTTCAGATGTAGAACTCTCAGCTCCTCTTGCACCATGCCTGCCTGAATGCTGCCATGCTCCCACCTTGATGATAATGGACTGAACCTCTGAACCTGTAAACCAGCCCCAATTAAATGATAGCCTTATAAGAGTTGCCTTGGTCATGGTGTCAGTTCACAGCAGTAAAACCCTAACGAAGACACAGCCTTTCTGGATTAGAAATCTGGTCAGTTGTGTGACCTGGGATCTAAACTCTATGTCTCACTTTATCTGTCAATGGGGTTAAGATCAACTTTGTAGGGCTGCCATGATGATTAAATATACTATGTACTGTATTTAAATATCACTGACACTGAAGATTAAAGGTGTCAGATACTTTTTACGATTTTATTATATGAAACCCAATAACTTTTTTTCAGAAAACAATCATATCATGTGTAATACTGTTATTTATAAAATTTCACACACATAAATGCAAACAAAGCTATGTTTGGCTCTTTCCAAATATTCCTGTTAATATATGCTATTTATGAACCTGGATTCTGTTAATCCCAACACTTGAGAGACAGAGGCAGGTAGATCTCTGAATTAGAGGCCAGCCTGGTGTATAAAGTGAGTTCCAAGACAGCCCAGGTTGTTGCATAGAAAAACCCCATATCGCCGGGCAGTGGTGGTGCACGCCTTTAATCCCAGCACTTGGGAGGCAGAGGCAGGCGGATTTCTGAGTTCGAGGCCAGCCTGGTCTACAGAGTGAGTTCCAGGACAGCCAGGGCTACACAGAGAAACCCTGTCTCGAAAGAGAGAGAGAGA